CAATACGAAACATATCCGTTCTCTCTTTGTTTTCGTCTTGTGAACTGCATCAACTGTCTTCAACGTTGTAAATAAGAACCAATTAAATGCTTATGTATATCAAGGTCAATAGGTGATTGGGAACCAGTTATGCTTGTATATACTCACAAACACGTGAAAGTTTCACGGGTTTCCTACACCACTTGTGCACAGCTAGTCCCCAAACCCTGCTCATATAAAGGCGTAGGGGAGGACGCGTAGAATCAATTCAATCAACACACGGCACACGGTTTCACCAAAGTTACACTCCCTCACACGCCACGAGCTCTACATTATTTTATATTTTCCAATTTCTAGTGGTTGGTACTTTGGACTCAAGTTTGTGAGTAGATGAAATCAGTTGATGCTCTGTGGACATATGGTCGGTGGCTAAGCTTTGATGCCACCTCGACACTGTAGTGTCATCTGAGCAAAGAACAGCGCCTAAGCATCAACGGGTAGGCGTATACGCAATTCATTATTTTAGCTACATTTGAGATGTTGTTAGGACCAGATATTGGATTCTGCATGCTGTCACTGCTAACCTACGTTGAAATCAGCTCTTTCGGTATGAATGTATTGAGATGATGACTTTGATCAGTAGTTTTATATTTTCAGATTAGTGAATTTATATTTGGGAAATAACATCAATGCGTTTTTTTGTGTTTTGTGTGTGTGTGTGTTTTTTTTTTACTGAATTCGATTTCTATTTATTAGCGCCTATTTGGAATGTATGTTTTTTTCTTTTATAGCATTGCACGAGCGAATGATAACTGAAGATGCAAGCATTGTGGAAATATTTCATTGATGCCTCAACATGACATGAACTGGCCCAAATATACAATATCTTTAACTTAGGTTCCATGTATTTGTTTTCAGCGAATATGGAAATATTATGTCCTTGAAACAAAAATAATGTCCTCTGTGTTTTTGAGGGATTCTTTAGAGCAAAACGCGTGAGACAGGTAAACGGAATGACTAGCTATTTTTTTGGCTGTGGTTGTTTGGTTATTTCACATTGTGATTTAAGTTTGTAGGGTTCCTTGACTTGACGATACGGCAAACTGTCGAACGTGGGAGCATTTTACTTACCGATTGATGTCAGTTCATCGTCCGACGCATATTCACACAAATATTGTTAATTTGAAGAGAAAAAAAAACAGCAGGAAATCTGGGAGAGTTAGTAGGCCTAATGGCCTTAAAATCGCATTAAGCAAATTTGTCTTCATAAGATGAAAATTTCCACGAATTAAACATTTTAGCTTAGTAATGACGAACGCGTCAAAGCCGTGGACACACAGTAGCATTCAATTGCGTCTTTACCTGACCTGGAAATCCTCGGATGCGAAAATACACTGACCAAATTGAAAAATAACACATTGCTTCCTAAAGATGCATCTTTTGGAATATCGCATATAGCCCAAAGACGTCTAGATAGATTCATTATGTTCACGTTGCTAATTTGACTGCAAATTGCATTGAGCGCGTTTCATGGACCATTCCCAACATTCTGATTGTCTGAACATTAGCTGACACAATGCTATCGCAATTGAAGGTAGCGTACGTGAGTGAACGGTGATATTATTGGAATTTCAATATATTTCTGGGAAAAGGGTTAATAGTAGACTGCTTCTCAAAATTGGCATCGTATTTCATGTTTGTTTTACATCATTAACTTAAGCCGAATTGCATTCTAATGCATTATTACTTGATAAAAGATCTGTTTCATTGTTGGTATTAACATTTATAATAGTAGAAGTCCTGCAAAAAGAAAGAAATCCATATGCACACAAAACATGACCGTGACAAACTGTAATCCACCAAATGTCGCGTCATTTTTGTGGGAATGTATCAGCTTTCCACTTGACCAGGTTTTTTTAGCACAGCCACAGAAACTACTAAAACCTGGTCTATAGGCCTATTCATAAAGAAACGCTAAATTCAGGAAAAGGCATTGCAAGACGATGTTGTAAATACTATTGCAGACATTGTATTGCTTAAAATACAGATTTGTGTAAAATCAGTTAAGTTTTGTTTTTACGAGTTTGAGTTTGATAAATATCGGGGGTTCTAGGATTAGCTTTGAGCGTGTTTCTGTGGTTCGTCAAATTTGATACTATTTATTCAAATGATAATGGTTGACAGGCAACTGTTTTATTAGACGGAGATTTCTGTTTTCGAAGAAAATTATAATCAATACGCTTGCCGAATGTCTCCGAAAGCTTTTTCTCTTGTCAGTCTGTTTGGTACTTTGTCCCGCTGTGGCTTGCCAGCCTGAATGTGTTTCGTCTCTAACTTTTCATAAAATGTCCTTTGCTGGAAAGTAATTGCAGTGCTATACTCTCTAAGATAATAATTAATTCCTTTGCATTACCATTCCTTAGCATTGTAACTGACATTCCTCGTGGAACGGAAACCGACCAGACAGCCACGCATATTGGTCAAATCCGTCGTCACTATTTAATAAGTAAATCAATTGAGGGGCAGTATAAGGCGCATTTGTTTTCTTTATCCAGGGCACTAAGGCCACAGAAAAGGTCTCTGGCATGGAGCTTGCCCCAAAAAGTGGTGCGGCGACGCGGCTTTTTTTTTTCTTTTTTTACTCACCTTTTTTTTCTTTTCGAATGTCGGCTGATGCCGTTGCAGATGGCGCTTCGATCCCCTTAAAGCTCTCAAAATATCCTTCAAAGTGCAGCTTAAGGTGACCTCAGTAAGGCCATAAGGCTTGAGAAGTATATCGACCTAATTAAAAAGCATTTGCAGGTTCAACATACACAACTATCGCTCCGTCAGTCTGGCTTCCAGACGCACAACTACAAAATTGCAACACCATCTGCAAATTGTACCCGACTAAATTTGGTGCAAAAAATACGGGAGGCCACATAGGCCACATAAAGCTTAAACTCGATCGTAACCCCATCTAAAAACACGTTAAAATTGTGCAGCTGGAGGATTCCAGTCAAACCAGTGAGTTTGGCGGTTTTGAGACATCATCTTACATTGAAAAAAAAACACCCTTTTTCATTTTGCCGACGCGCATGGCTACGGCGACGCGTGCGCAGACCAGAAACCGGAGACTTCATTTGGCCTAAAAAAACTTTTCATTTTTTGTGGCTGTGCTACTTGCCAAATGGGGTAGCTGAAATTTTCTCACCAAAAATGACGTGATTTTTCGTGGACACAGTATGAAGTATGATGCCTATTTGTTTTCAGTAGTCTTGATCTCAGACTTTTACTTTTCTTTTATTTTTGTTGTGAACTTTTCCCTTGAAATGAAAATATTAGAATGCAGAGTTTCAAAGCTTGCCTTGTATCCCACTAGTGCGATGTAATTTCAATGCACTTCATCCTTGAACGGTGAACGTGCAAGATCCATGGATACTATCCAAACTAAATAATCCTCTCCGTTGATAAGGGGGTTGCATCAACAACTTGCTGATTTCTCTCCCCTATTTTCCCTTGTTTTGTTTACTGATTGCGTTAAACAAATTTGTTTATTCACTAATATCCCCCTCAATTTAGCGATATTCACTGTGGGTCGGTACATGTACATGTAGAACAGGAACGGAATGCACTGGTTTCTAGAATTTAACTTTTGAGCGTTTCACCTTAGGCCCAATTTTTGGCCTGGAACCAATTCGTTCTTGCTAAAATTATTCTTGGCTTGCTGGACTTTCTGATGTGATCTCTGGGTTTTGGCCTGTTTATTTGCACAAAACATTATAATGTAAAGTACTAAAAGCCGAGAATATCCTTTCTTTTTGTTCACAGATACAGCCATACCACTGGCAGTATGAACTATACGTTAATAATTGATAATCCGTTCTGCATCAAGTACATTCTAGTAATGAGATGCATGTACACCAATTACGTATACATTTTAGTCACCACTGAGCTGCTATCCGCTACTGACGTTTCGATAATGCTCAACGTTTCTGCGCATGTACGTTGTTGAAAATACAATGGTGACTAAACAGTGATGGAGTTTTGCATCTCGGCTCAAACACGTTAAGCACTATATCTTAATCATTGTCAATTATTTCCCATCACGACTGCGGTGTAGTAACGATCATCGTACATTATTATAGGCTCAATTTACTTGTAGTTTCTCACCAAGTTGCTGTTTTAGTTCCTTTCCTCATGAACTAAGAAATTCTTCCGCAAGATGGAGCCAAATCCACGGAAGTACATGTATAACAAAAACCTTCTCGCAACGTAGTGCATTGCCGTGTCATAATGAACCAAGTGTCTTTTTAGATGCACACATATATAGGAACTTCGCCTCCAAAGACAATCTTTATCGGAACGCGTGTTTAGTATGCGACAAGAACCAATTAAAACACAAGAAACTCAGAATGCGTTTGCTTTTCTTGGAACACTAATCCACGGATATGGTTTATTCAATTGTTGTGTTTTACTACTATACTATAGCAAGTACTGTAACAATAAAACAACAACCGTAATTTATGAAATTTGAAGATTCTTCTGTGGGCCGGAGAATACCCTTCGAACCCACAGTTAGAGACGCAAAACCGACATTTCGTCAGCAAATAGTTTGTACGACGTCAGATACCATAGTATGCTGCTATTAATTCCCATAGCCGTTCTACGGGGCCACATTATTGTCAAAGGATGTTATTCCATTGAAGCTTTGAAAGTGACTTAAATGTAATAAACGTTAATTGTCAATCATAAGAGCTTAATCATCTTATTCAAGAGCGGAAGAATGGAATGCTGTTCGGGGAATATCTTTGGACTATGGACACCAAACGGTATTGCAATATGACATTACAGTCACATTTCTGTGGCTGTTTAAAAGCATTAATTCGCGCAATCTGCTTGAAAAGTCAACCGCTTAGGATAATTGCTGAATATTTAGCTTGACTGCTCAACAATAGGCCTAAGGCGTAATTACGTCACGCTTTGTTTACATGTGCGCTTTCCTATGTAGTAGACGGTCCCAACTTTATCTGGCGTCCCGACTTCGCTCCCATAGGAAAGCGCATAATACAACGCCATTACGTCATTACGTCTCGGGTCTATTGTATGTGCTCTATGAGTCCGCAACGTATAATAATGTAACAATTGCGAATTGGAAATAACCTGACTGAGAAAGTAGAACTGTGTGTTCTGTACATTAATCGTTTCCTTCATTTGTATGTTTAGATAAACAAAGAAAACAGCCGGCAGCCGCCGGTATTAGAGAAGCTGCCAACGAAGAGCTCCTCGAAAACATCAACTCTATAATCATCCGTTTGAAATACAATCACAGCTGAAATGTCGTCTGGAATGGAAACTACCGCGCGACCAACTTCCAGCAAGCCCTCGAGCGTAGACTCCTCCTCCACTGTTTATGTTCTAGGCGCTGTCTATGGAACCATAGGCTGCCTCGGTATCTTAGGAAACACCTTGGTCTGCACAGTCTTCCTTATGCGACAAAATGTCTTTGGATCTTCCACCAACCTTCTAATCTTGAACCAATCCATGATAGACCTAGTAGACTCCATCTTGTACTTGGTGCTCCGGTTTGGACCTCAATTGTCTGATCAGTGGGACGGCATATGGGGCGAGCTGGCCTGTAGGATATGGTTCTCGGAGTACATCATCTGGTCTCTGTTTGTTGCATCGACGGTTAATCTTCTCTTCGTGTCTTTAGAGAGATACTTTGCGATCTGCCACGCCGTCAAACACCGTAAACTGTTCACTCCTCGCCGCGCTAACATTGGCCGCGTTATCGTCTGGATTGGTGGATTCCTCTACCAATCCTACTGGGCTGTGCTACACACGTTCAGCAAAGGGGAGTGCTACCCGGTCTGGCCCAGTCCAACGGTACAGAAAATCGGTGGTGTTTTTTTCTTCTGCTGCGAATACCTGATTCCACTTTCCATAATGTGTTTCAGTTACGCTAATATTGTCATCATGCTGCGCAAGAAGAGTAAACGCGACAACACACAAGCGGTCAATTCGTTCCAACGAGCCAAGCGCAACGTAACGCTTACACTGTGCGTGGTGTTCCTGTCCTACACTGTATGCTGGACCCCTACTGAGATCGCGTACATCATGTACAATCTGGGAGGACATTATGACTTCGAGAGCACCTTACATGGGATTTTTACCGCCTTGGTTCTTGGTAATATGTGCGTGAATCCTATCATATACACTTTCAAGTATGAACGGTTCCAGGTAGAACTAAAGAGGATCTTTTTAAAGCGAAATCGAGTCGGAGATGTCGGTATCACCGTTGATGCTACGCCTAGGACACAGGCAGTGGATCAAAATTTGGACCAAGAGGGACCAAGTACAATCCGATAGTAAAACGGCTAGACATCCTTTTTTGTAACGATTACAGTTTAAACTTCAAGTCCATTGTCCCACTATTGGTTAACTCAACAAGTTAAGTGTACAAAGTCTTCACCTATGGGTTAATCAAGATGTATATAGCTATTCTTTGATTTCACACTATACAAATGACAAATTAAATGGGGTCCTGTGTTTGCAGGTCAACATACCAACTGCCTACACTCCAGTAAAACTGTTCCCGATTGGAGGTCAGTATTTGCCAAGCAGACGGTATTTGTATTTGGAAATAACATTGCCTTAACAGTGTTATACCGTTTTGCATGTGCTTGTCAAAAAGTCACTAATAAGTCCCTTCATTATGGTCGACATAAGCTAAATGATACGAACTTTGAAGAAAAAAAGGTAAACGATGAAAATACAACAGATGGACAATACAACGGGCATGGAATGTCAAGTTATTTTGAAAGACGGGTAGACGAAGCCACCATTTTAAATGCAGTTTGTGCGCCGACTCAATTTTGCTGTGTGTAATAATGAGGCACATTCAGAAACATATATAAAGATATTAATTTTTAGATAAAGATAAAGATATTAATTGCTGTGATGTGCCATATGACATTTTAACACCAGAGGGGCGTATAGTATGCGCTCCAAGGTAATTAAAACGTCACATCCCGCATCATAGCAGTCAACATCTGTTGAGGTTATTACTGTCCTTTGTGGAAGTGGAAATCTCTTACATTTTGGGCACTATCTCCTGAATTATTGTTACTGTAGTCAAAACAGTTTGAACAGTAAGAAGCAAAGCCGTAATGTGGGAAAAATAATATATCACAGAAGTAACGGGCCTTAGGCCCAAACATGTCTCCCGTTTCTGGTATGCGCGCCCGTCGCCGTAGCCATGCGCGTCGGCAAATGAATATTTTTTTCCAATAAAAGATGATGTCTCAAAACCGCCAAACTCACTGGTTTGACTGGAATCTTGCTGACGCACAATTTTAACCTGCTTTTAGATGGGGTTATGATCGAGAATAAGCTTTATGTGGCCTCTCTGGACTCCCATATTTTGCACTAAGTTTAGTCGGGCACCATTTGCAGTCATCAGCCTACATTTGAAGCAAAAAAAAAAAAAAAAACCAGGTAAAAAAAAAGCCACGTCGCCGCACCACTTTTTGGGCAAGCTCCATACCAGAAACCGGAGACTTTTTGGGCCATATTTAACGAACAAATTTAACAGGTTCAATTTTTTTTTAAAGCACTAATCAATTATTTTGTTAAAGTCAAGCTGGGCTATACGAGGATTAAGCGTTAACGAAGACCTTGCCCCGCCGTGTTTGCTCCGGTGAACAGTTCCATGAATGCGTTACTTTGTTTTGCTGCAATCCTTGGGCGACAAGCTCCTTGTATACTGTGAGTAAATGCCCCTTGGATACGTTCTAGTCTCCCACAAAAACGGGAAAGGTTACCTTTTTTTCCTCTTCGGCCAACATTCGGTCTCATTGGCGTCGCCAGGATTTTTTTCTAGAGAGGGGTAAAACATATTTTCCCCATTTTGTGTGTGTATTTCTCAACAAATTCTCGATTTATCAGGTTTTTTTTTTGGGGGGGGGGAGGGGGGCAAGGACATTTTGTCCCCCCCCCAAAAAAAAACCCATTAAATTTACACCACTATGACTTCGCCTCTCTTTTTCTTTTTCTTTTCTTTTCCGGGGGGAGTCCAAGCGCCCCCTTCCCCCCCCCTCGCGACGCCCATGTTCGGTCTGGGTTTTGACCACCGTCTGTAAAAGATTCTGGTCAGAATGTTTCATGAAACAGGTGGCGTACAAGACATGATAGCTCAGTTTGGAGAGCACCTTCCCGAGCTACGACAGCCTAAAGCGCTCGAACAGTGCGCAAAAAGGTTGTAAAATACGGACAAAATGAAACAAGCAAGAACCTGAACCGTAGTCGTAGTGACAATGTCAATGTCAACCTTATCTATAAATACAGTTTCAAGTTCAATAAATATAATTTAATTTACTTGATGTCCTGTTCTGTTGTTCCTTTTATTTATTTCATTTTCCAGAGGCCATTGTTGCCATTGTGTTGGTAGCAAAAGTTCCATTATGAACATTGTGTTGGTAGTGTTTTGGCTTGCCATAAAGAAAGACCTTTATTCTTTTCATGCATTGCTGAATATCAGAGTAATTTTTACAGACTGTGGTCAATACCCAGACCGAATGTTGGCCGAAGAGAGAAAAAATGGTAACCTTTCCCGTTCTCGTGGGAGACAAGAACGAATCCAAATTGACATTTTTTTTATTCACCCTGTATTACACCTTTCACTGCTATGAAGGTAGAGGTGGGTATTAGCCCATACTTTTTTTTTTTAGCTGCTTCCCTCAAAATATGTAGTGATCCATGGGAATCAAGGGAAAAAATACTTTAAAAATCATTTGAGACAGGTAACCCTCCTGTACATGGCCCTCAAAGTGTCATTTTGAAAATATTGTATGGTGCCCCGACTCCTTGGGCACAAATTATATGTAACTATTTGTCGGCTCCAGACTATTTTACCCCATACTGGGCTAGCCTTGAAATAAGTAAGCAAAATAGAGGAAATAAAGAAATTTCCCTAATTTTTTAATTAAGTAAATCCTTTTGTTTCACCTCTGAAGTGTAATATCATGTATGTCATTACAACTTTAACCATTGCCAATACAAATTCTTATTTTTAAAAAGAAAAAAAATCTTAGGTTTAAAACAAATGCCCATGCAGCTTTGTATGCGGAATGAAGTTACATGTACCAACAGGTCTACTTGTTTTTGTTTTGCCTGGGAATACAATGTTTTCAGCACATATAGGCCGTTGCACGTGCCCATGAAAGTGCCTCAGAAAAACATTTTTGTGGTATTATCTATAATTTAAAAAAAATGCTTGAATTAACAGCTCAGGAGTAAAATTGAACCCCCAAAGAATTTTAAGATGAAAATAACAAATGTTTACACGAAATTTATCGTTTCAAGAATAGAATCTTACACTTAACAAGGTGCATACCATCTCCTGTATTTCTTATATTTTTTTGTTTTCTTGTACACTTATTTAAACCTCAACGTGGTGATATAATTGCAACATTAATTAAAACTTTATTGGAAGTACATGTGCATGTAGTTTATTTTGATGTTAGATTGTCTGAATTCCTGCAGTTAAAGTGGTAATTGCCATTGATTACCAGAACATTAATAATAAAAAATGATGAAGTTAGCATGATAGGTAACAAAACCAATGTACTTTCAATGAGCAGGACAGAGAATCAGAAATATTTACACAAAATTTACAAAGTATTATATAAGGTTATCATTTATTTCAAAAGAGATCCTGTAATACTAAATGGTGACAATAAAATGGCATTGATAACGGTTGCTTTGTCTTGCATGTTTTGTGTGTTTCTATTATTGTATTCACAAGGACAAATTTTGAAGCAGGTTCACTCTTTAAAGGTGCAGAATACCAACCTATAGTGAAAACAAATGAACATTTATCTAACATAAAACCTGCAGTATCACTGTGGGGAAATAGATTATGTATATATGTAGTACCTTTAAACGGAGTTCTAAACTGCTGCTTTAAGGCGAATCGTTGAAAGCGCGCACATCACCTCGGGTGCGGTAGTCGCCTTCCGCCAAACAAGAACTAGTTCTGGATCATCCTATAATGTTTGTGACCCTTATTTTATGTAAAATTCATTTTTTTGGTGATAACCCTATGTGAATTGAGTTAAGACAACAATTTTGTAATAAGACTTAGTTGAAATCAAGAGATAATGCCGATTTACTCGCATGGAAATGGCCCATGGATACATAAGTTAAGTAATACATGTAATACGGCCTCTTTCAGCGTCCCTAGAATGGCGTGAGGAAAAGGGCTCACGGTGAGAGACAATTTTATTGAATTTCTGCTTATAATGGTTTTCCGACACTCCTTGTGTTTGAAGGATAGCATCATATTGAACTGATATCATAGGTGTGGGTAAAGCTCAGGGGTTAGTTCAGAAAACAGCTGTAATTCTGCACTCGTGCCAGCCGGCCATGGCCATGCGATCTATTTGTGACTATCATCAGTGCGTACCGTGTACATTATACAAATATTGAATGCTTCGAGTGGTGTAGTAAAACTAGCCTCCCGAGGTGATCCATGGCCCATTCTATTTTCCCGAGGCGAAGCCGAGGGAAAATAGAATGGTCCATGGATCACCGAGGGAGGCTAGTTTTACTTCACCACGAGATAAAGCATTCAATATTTGTTTTATAACACTTCACCCACAGATTCTGCTTGATTTTAATATTTTACATTATTTAAATCTGAACACAGTTGAAATAAACTTGAATTTCAACACAAAATTGGTGGAAAATGTATTTCTCTCTTAAAAACTAACCCTTCACGAAATGTTTGAACCCAAGTCTGCGGCGCGCTCTCTTTGGAATAATACGCGCTACGCACAACGCGCAACGCGCACACCAGCATGCATTTGCACACAAATACCGCGTCGTGGAAATAGTACTTTGGTTGCTAATGGTATAGTACTTTGGTTGCTATGCGCATAGTACTTTTGGCCGTGCACAGAAAGATAGCAAAATTAGAAAGTAACATGTGACTCGCTCTCAGCCAATCAAGACATAGAATCTGTGGGTGAGGTGTTATAATTCTCATTAGGTGGGCTCGTGTTGTGTGCGCGCGTCTGTACGTGCACGTGCAATGTAGGATGGGTTGCCATATTATCGCGGTACTTATCACGTTTCTCGTTCGGAATAGAGATTCCCCACTAACCTTCCCGAATTGTCCTGTCTTGTGTGTAGTATAACTCTTCCTTTTCAAATTGATATAAAAAATTCCGACGGTGGTGTGGTTTATTCCGTGTACGATGCCTGTGAAAATAGACATGCTCGGAGTGTGCGAACGGAGGTGGACTCCCAGTATTATCGCGGTATGCGGGAAGTGGTTTTTATAATGATCTCAACTTTATTATTCATAGTTAATGTTTGACCAAAACACCCCCTGAATAAAGTCTGATATTTTCCCTGTAAGTTCAAGTTGATTAAAGACTATCTGCAGGATGATTCTAAGACCCTGCCCTTCTCCCGAAAGGAGAACACAACTCACTGAGGCAAGTCTACTGTTTGGCGATTGGGGGCGCCATTAACTTTACACGGTGTGCCGTTTTATTTTTGTTAACGCGCTGTGCTTATTTTGATCCCGTAAAAGTTTTTACGATTTCGCGGTGCAAATATCGTCCTTCGACTTCATTTTACATTTGCAGCTGAAGAATGGGAACCAGACAATGGAACTTTCATGGACAGAGCACCATTAAAGATTTAAGTTAAAATAAAGACGATACCTTTAAGCAGACACGGTGAGGGAAAATTTGCAAGTTTTGGCAAACGTTATTATTTATTA